GAAGGAAGGAAGGAAGGAAGGAAGGAAGGAAGGAAGGAAGGAAGGAAGGAAGGGAGGGGAAGAAAGAAAGAAAAAGAAAGAAAGAAATCTGGCCACTCTATAGCCACCACTCTGTAAGAAAGCCCAAGCTAGTCACATGGAGACAGAGACCACAGGAGAGGTGCTGAGACCCTGGACACTAAATGAGGCCTCTTCCACTATCCAGTCCAGCCCCCAGCAGAATGAGTCAGATGAAGGACCAGCAACTCTGCCATAGGAGCAGAACCACCCTGCTGAGTTCTGACACATTCCTGACCTAAAGAATCTTGCAGTGTGGGCCCGTCCCTGTAGCCTAGTGGTTAAGGGAACCAGACCCAGAGGGAGGCTATTTGGTTGGATGCCAAGAGAAATTTGGGGATAGCCTCACTGCCTCTCCCTTTAAGGCTAATTAGAAATGCTAGTGAGGTCATCTTTAATGTTAAATGAAGTTAGTTTTGATGGTAACAAAATCTGGTGGTGTTGGGAACCAGTAGTTAGCGTAATGGCTTTGTCGTTGGACTCCCACGTAGTCGACTGCGGTTCGTGTCCCGGACCCGGTGGCTTAGAACTCAGGCCGGGCGAGTGTGCGTGCGTGCCCAAGATCCCAAGAGGAGAATGGAGGAGAAGGGATTGCGGCATGACCATCCCCCCTGGGGGGTGATTTCTCGCTTTCTGTCTCTCTGTCTCTCTCTGTCTGTCTGGCGAGCGCACGCGCCCTATAGCAAAAACCTCTCAAAAAAAAAAAAAAAAAAGAAGAAGAAGAAGAAATAAACTTAAGAGAAAGAGAGGGCCAGCTAGGTGACATGATGGTGAAGGCAGTTGGAGTCCACATGGCTGACTGTGTGGTTGAACCCCAAACCTAGTAGCTTGAAAAGCATGCCAGGTGTGTGTGCAGGTATGCCCAAAATCCCAAGAAGAGAATGGAAGAGAAGAGATTTTGGTGTGGTCACCCCCCCCCGGGGTGATTTCTCATTTCCTCTCTCCCCTTCCAGCAACCCCCAGGAGCCCTATAGCAAATTTTAAAATAAAATAAAAATGAAAGAGAAAAAAAGCCAAGAAGAGTGCCTAGAAAGAGACATATGGTTGGTCTCCGGGAGAGCTTAACCTGTATGGTGGGTAGAGAGCATACGAACCCGGGTGGTGACCCCTGAAATGCTGCACCTGGCTATCCACCTGCCCATAGAGACCTGCTCCCCCCCAAAACTGGGCCCAGCCCTGTTGGTTTAAATATCTTTATTGATACGAAACTCACCACCTATCCCAGGACCTGCAGTTCCCAGGAGCCCCACATCCAGAGGCCCAGACATTGGTTTTTTGGTTTCTACCTGGAGTCCAGGGGAGGGAAGTTCTGTATAGTCTCCCTGGAAACTCCCAGAGAGCCTTTCAGGGCCTTCGGGCGCCTTGGGCTTTTGTGACTAGGCGTATACCTCCAGACCCCCACTTCACAGATTCCAGAAGTTTGGGAGATGGACTGTCACAGGGACAGGCTGGGCCGGACAGCGCCCCCTGCTGGATCGCAGAGGTGCCACAGGTCCCGAGAAGCAGCTCTGCGCAGTTAGGACCGCCGGGAGGGTCAGAGGCAGAGGCTGAGCTCCTTGCGCACGCGGCAGCGGTGACATTGCACCACGCAGCACCAGTGGAAGCGGCACAGGCAGTTCTCCTCGAGCTGCACGCTCTCCTGGCGGGGGCCCCGTCCGCAGCACAACAGGTCGCAGCCGCTGAGGTCCGGGGCACTGCTGTTGCAGGCGCGGCCGCGCGTGCCCGGAGAGCCTGTGCGCCGGTTCGGGGCGCAGAAATCGGGCGAGTCGGCGGCGTAGAGGAGGTCGGCGCGGCCGGGCGGCTTGAGCGTGCGGACCGCGGGCAGCAGGGCCTTGCCGTCATTGGTGCCCATGACGCGTGAGGCGCCGTGGAAGCGCTCCAGGAGCCGCGCGCCCACCTCGCGGAACGGGGGTAGCTTCTGCCAGCAGGTGCGTAGGGCGCAAGAGCCCGACAGTCCGTGGCACTTGCACTCGGTGCGCATGTATCTCCTCACCGCCTGCGGGGAGCAGAGGCGTGGATGCTGACAGATGAAGGTGCGGAGTGCGGAAGGGCGGGCAGGAGAGGCAGAAAATAAGGTTGGGGATGGGCGGGGCAAAGAGGTGAAAGAAAGGAAAAACAGACAAAATAAGATAAATACAAAGGAGAGCGCGAGTTGGGGAGGAGAAAATCAAGGCAGCAGCTTGGAGAAGAGGAGGAAAAATGGTAAGGATGGAGGAGTAAGAGGAGTCGGGGTTGGGGATCAGTGTGTAGCGCAGAGATGCCAAGGGGTGGCCGAGAAAGCAGAATGGACGTCAGAGATGAGATTCTCCCTGGAGGAAGGGTGAGGATGGTGGCAGCTGTCGAGGCCTGGTCCCACTGCCAACCCAGCCCCTCATTCCTGCCCCTGGGCGTCTGTCTCCCCCCACCCCCCAACTCGCTGACAGGTATGTGGGCCTGTCCGGACATTCCTCTCCAGGCTCCCTACTCCCCGCCTGCTGGTGCCATAAGCCTGAAGCCGAGAGGACATGATATGTGAGTGGAGGTGTCCCTAGAACACCCGAAAACTGAAGCACAGTTGCAGAGGGGCCCACCTGAGCGCATCTGCTAAGAACAGACCCCAGAGCCTCCTCCTTTCTTTGCTATGTGTGTCTGAAGCTGGGGACTGAGATTCACAGCTGCACCAGCTGGGCCTGGAACATCATCTCCGGGAGCCCAGAATCCCAGACTTGTGTGCCCCTCCCCCTCCCTGACGCCTCCCGTCACCCCTTGCTGGAACCGTCTGACCAGGGAGGCTTCTTGCCCCTAAATGACCACAGCTCCAGTCCTCACTGCAGAGGGGAAGGCTGCCATGGTTCTGGGCAAGTGTGAGCTGGTCTGGGTGGCCCGGCAGCTGCGTGGCAAGTGCCCAGCTCGGTACAGCTTTCCTGGCCGCTGCCTGAGTCTCTGCCACCTCACCAGGACCAGCTCCCTGGCCCTCACTGCTCCCTAGCCCCTTTGGAGGCCTCCCTCGCGTCATTCCCCCTGCCCCATTCGCTACCTCCAGACCCCAAACCCTCACTCCAGCTTCCATCATTCTTTCATGCCCGCCTTTGTCTCCCTCCCTGCCCCTGCCCCCAGATTCATCCTATTCCGAGCTCCAACTCCCGGTCCTGTCTCAGAGGTAAACCCTCCCTGCCTTGGGTCCCTAAAGGGTCTCAGTCCTCTTCCTTGAGGGTCAGCCCACTGTGCCACCCCAGTATCAGGCTCTCCCTGACTCCAAGTGACTCCTTCTTCTAAACTGGGCACCTCACCTCCAACGTGCCCATCCTCCCCACCCCACCCCACCCGTCTTCCAAGTGCCCCCCCCGCCCATGCTCACACGTCTGGCACGCTCACACCCCACTCACACCCACCGCTGCACAAACACACGCACTGCACATTTCTGCATACGCTCCGGACACTCTCCTCCGTACGCACCAGCCGGCCCGCCTCGTTGTTGTGCAGTTGCACCAGCGCGCGGATGTCTCCGCGCCCCCGCTTGTGCTGCGCATCCATAAAGAGCCTCGACTTCTCGTCCCCGAAGTCCACGTCGTCACCACAGCCTCCCCATTCCCAGGCGGCACTGCTGTCTGGGGACCCCGCGGGGCCAGGAGGCCGGGGAGTACCCTGCAAGCCGGAGTGCGGGGAGAGGCCGCGGGGCGCCTGGCAACCGCACTGCAACAGCTCGCCCATGGAGCAGGCCTGCGTGACCGCCCGCCGCCGTAATAGCAAACACGAAGGCAGTCTCCCGAATATCTGCGGAAACAGAAAGGGGCAGTTGGCATAGGACCTCAGCTGGGGTCTCTATCGCCTTGGGCTGGGCAGTGGGACGTGCGGGTTGGGATGGGCCTGGGAGACAAGGTCCGCCTTGGGTGCAGATGGGAGGGTCCCTCAGTCCTTCCCATAGACCGCCAGGGAGATGGGGCTTAGGCAGGCTCCACAAACCTTCTCCTCTCTTCCAGGCCCCCAGCGGGCAGAAAGCAGACCCCTGCCCCCCAGGTCCCCTGCCCCCCAGGTCCCCTGCCCACACTGACCTTGCTGCAGGATGCGCCCAAAGGCCTTGCTGTGACTGGAGCAGTTCCAGCGGCGGAAGCGGAACTGGAACTGGCACTCTCGCACCCCAAGTCGGGCACCCCGGGCTAGCTCTGCCACCACTTCCGGCTCAGCCCGGCAGCACTC